TACTGTGAGCTATGGCTCCACAGCTATGGCTCTACCGAGGGTGACATAGTAAAACTCTGTATCAAAAAAGAAAAAGAAAAAAAATTCAAAAACTATTCCTTGCCAAAGCTTAATAAAAATAGGCACCTAGGCCTACCTAGGCCTATTTTGCCCACAGGCTGTAGCTTCCTGGCCTCCTGCTACAGGGCAGACAGTTAAAAGTTAATCTACTGTTTAATGCCCAGCTGGGCTTGCCTTCCCCTCTCACACCTACCCTATCCTTCCCTCTCTAGATTGCCTGTTGCCGTCACTAGAGACCACAGGTTTATTTTAACGGTTGTCTCAGACAAACTGAGTTGGGAAGCAACCTTCAGAGTATCCTACAGTTTTAGATTATTTGTGTCATTGCCTCCCTACTGGCCAGGAGACTTCAGGGTCAACTGAATATACTTCAGGGATGGAGAGAAGCAGAGGCTGAGGAAGAGGGAAGGTTCAAAAGTAGGGGAGAGTTGGAGTCATTCCCTTCCACATGCCCAGACTCTGAAGAGATGCTGTCTAGAGTCCCTGTAGAGGCTCAGGGAGGGATCCTGGGGATCCTGAACAGCCAGCTGCTCTGTCTCCACTCAAAGGGGAGAGGGAAAAGAGAAGGCAGGGGAGAGAAAAGAAATTGGAACTCCCTACTGCTCCTCTGCTTGTTTCTCCCCCCTCGGCTGGAGGCCAGGCACACAGTTGCACAGACAGGAACAGGGCACCTGACCCCCACCCCTCACTGAGGTCCCCGGCTCCGATGTCCAAGGACCCTATGACTGGGAGACAATGCTCCAGTGTTTGAGGAATGAATTTGCTCTGTGGTCCAAATGTCTTAGTGGCGTGCACAGCTTGCCAAGGCACTTCATAGGACCCCACTGGGAGGACTGCCAGTGGTTCCCTCCCACCCTCACCTATCAAGCCAATGAGAGGCTAAGAGGAGAGGCAGAGGGCCCAGGGCATCCTAGGAATTAGGCCAGGAAATACAGGGTGTTTACTAAAGGTTGCCTGTTGGATTTCTGTAGAGTTTACCCTCGTAGCTAATTTGCCAGTGACTTCTTAGTAGGGGAGATTTCGCAAAGATATAGACAGGCTCCTGTGGGGGGCGCCCTCTAGAGGAGGCAGGTTAGCACTCAAGCATTCACCTGAAGTTCCAGATCTCTCTAAGCCTCTCAGGGTGCTATTTGGGCTTGCTCAGGACCCCTGGGGGAGGCCAGACCCATGACAGAAACCCAGCCTGAGCATAAGGGTTTCCAACTGAAATTCCTGCAAAATGTGGCTGTAGGAGCTAACTTCAGAGTGACAGGAGGTGACGATCCTGTTTAGTCACCTTGATGTATCGAACAATGAACACTGATTGACCTGGCATTTTGGGGTTCAACTAAGGTGACCAGACGTCCCGCTTTTGGCAGGATAGTCCTGATTTTTAACAATTTGTCCCGCGTCCTGTGGCATTTTTAAAAAGTCCCAATTTTTGGAAAGAATGCAGGACAAGCTAGGGAACAGCAGGAGAATGGAAAGGGAATATACTGTTTTCGGCTGCTGAAAAGGTTAATGTAACTCCATTTGGGAATGAAAAGGTTAATGTAACTTCATTTGGAAATGAAAAGGCTAATGTAAACTCCCTACTCCCCTCCTGGGCAAGGTCCCTAGACTGGCTCCCTTCCTTGCTTCTAGGCAAGGACAATTAGCTCAGAAGGAGCCAAACTGTCTGGAACAAACAAGTAGTGCCCCCTCTCTAGAGTAAGGTGACCAGACGTCCGTCTTTTGGCAGGACAGTCCTGATTTTTAACAATTTGTCCCATGTCCTGCAGTGTTTTAAAAAAGTCCTGATTTTTGGAAAGAATGCATACATGACAAGCTAGGGAACATAGGAAAACAGGAAGGGAATATACGGTTTTCAGCTGCCATGTGGCTATTTCACCAGGATATGAGTTTTATATTATTTTTGTTAATTTTTTAGTGTTAAACTTTAATAATAAGATTAAAGAGAACTGATTATTGAGAACTGCTTATCAAAGTTTGCATTGTTGTCAGGCCCTGCCCCCCCAAAGCCCCGCCTGCTCTCCCCCCCCCAGTGGTGTCCCACTTTACCAATGTTAAAATCTGGTCACCTTAGGTTCAACCCTGATAGGTTCTGGGGTTACAGAGGTGGTTTGGTTATCTTTCTGCTTGGTTGTACCACGTGAAGCCACCCAGTGAGGGCAGCAAAACCCTATCCAAGCCAGCCTGGCCCAGGCACAGAAGCCACCAGCTGGTGATGTGGTCCTGCTCCTGCCTCCCCAGCCCCACTTTGCCTTCAGTTTGGCCTAGACTTCCCCCGTCCACTTGGGTACCTGAACCCTTTGCCCAGCCCCTCTCATGCGTAGCCTGGTATCTAAATTCTAGGAATAAGGGTTCTTGTTTTTCTTCAATTTATCTTGGCTTTTGTCTGGGCTTCCCTGCCTTTTTCTGAAAGCCAAAATCTTTTCATAATCTCCCAAATGGCCCTAAAGTCCAAAGGGAGCTTGATCTCACCTCTCTTCCAACCCTGTCTCTGGGAGCACCTCTTATCAGCTTCCCCAGTTCAAAGTGACTGACGGCTTCTCCCCCAAACTAAGGTTTCCTTGCAGTAAAAAGCACCCAGGCTAGGCTCCTACTGATACTGTGGCTTTTTAAGTCCCTGAAGGGCCAGGGATCCTAAAATAGAATGAGGTAAGCTTAGCTAACAATATTCATTTATTCCTGGTTTGAATCCTGCCCATTTTCAAAAACAACTTAAGACAGCTTCTGAAAATTGAATATCTACTATACTCTAGGCGCTTTGCTGCCAAAAAGTAAACAATGGTAGCTTTACTTCCTGTTCCTAGGCTGAGCTCCCAGGGAATGAGATCTGTCTGTCTCGGCTCTGTAATGTCCAACATGGAGCATGCGCCCTGGTGGCCAATGCTTCCTACACCCTTGGTGGAATGAACGAATGAGTGCTTTTTAGAATAAGGATAATTCTATCTCTCCCTGACCTGGTCTTAGCAGACGTGGCAAAAACTAAGTGGATAAGTTAGTGGAAGGAGGGACTGTGTATGCTGGGAGAGAGGAAAGGTGGGGAGATAAGACCGAGGAGGGGATTCCACACAGCTGTCCCCGCCATACTCCCACTGCTCCTCCCCCAGAAGACGCACACACTTCTCCCTCTGTCTCTCCAGATCCCCGACGTTTGCTGGTGGCCTCTTCTCCATCTCCAAGTCCTACTTTGAGCACATCGGTACCTATGATAATCAGATGGAGATCTGGGGAGGGGAGAACGTGGAAATGTCCTTCCGGGTGAGAGTGAAGGGGGCTTTGGAGGGGACCCACAACATCCTGGGGGCAGCCTGAGAAGTGTCTCTCAGGCAGCGGCAATCTCAGAGATATCACATTTGAAATTAAATGGAAAGGGTGGCCATTTTCCATCACGGCTCTGCCTTTCTTCTGCTCCTCTCCCTGTCCATGGCAGTAGGGCTTTGGCAATCAGATTGGCCAGCTTGAAACAAATTACTGGGCAGAACTTCTCAGTGGGAAAGGATCATAGGGACTGGACATCTGGTGCTGAGAACTCTTTTATGATATCTGTAGAAAAAGATTAGGATAAAGGTAGAAACAGGTCACTAACCAGTCACTGTCCTTTTCCTCAAAAAATAGGTTCCCCTTCCCAGCTCAAAGAACTTATGCTCTGGTAGCCTTTGGGTGTCCTTACGGATGCTCACCAAGCAAGATGGCAGCCCCTATTCCAGTGGATCCCAGAACTCTGAGGGATTCCAGGAATTAGACAAATCAGGATTAGGTCAGAAAGAAAAGATCAGCTCTCCATTAAACCTACATAAATCCCCATGACATGGGAAAGTAATTGGTAAATAATGAACTCATTTATGAAGTCACCTCTCACAGTGTCTGGCACATATTAAGCATTTAATTGATACTTACTATACTGTAGGAGGTACCATACTGTACCTATACCATAACTGTGATTATGTATTTCTGTTATTGCCTTACTAAAAATCATAACAACATACCTTCTGATCTAAAACCCACAGAAGGAGGGGTGTTTTAACCAGCCCCTTGGTATAGAGCAGGGTCACCAATCATCATAACTCCCAGCATTCTGATCCTAGGTGCCTCAGTGAGCCTCTGACCTCTGTGCAGTCTCTCTCCTAGAAAGCTAGTAGGGTAAGGCTCCAGATGACTACCACTGGCTACCTGGTAGTTGACTGTCCTTGCTATTAATTAATACTTTGATATTCTGATATAGGAGACTGAGTTCCCAGTTAACACCTGAGTGAGCTGATAAAAATCATTTTTCCAGGTCAAAAAGCTATATGATCAGAGCTCAGAGTAGGTTAACAGACATTAACATAAACAAAATTTAACCAAGTGTTTTCTCTAAAGTGGGCCCTGATAATCTCAGGACCCTACAACTCTCCATCTGCTTAAATCAGAATGGACTAACGTCAGAGAGCCTGGGATTGTATAGTCATGTAGGAAGAAGCCTAGTCAATATCCTTTTTTCCAGGAAGAGAAAGCAGCTTTTACCCAAATCTGTGGACTGGGAGTTTGGTACCCTGGAAACAGAACAGAACTCCTTTGGGGATCATTGTACTTGCCCCCCTCTGAAGGTCCCATACTATCTCCTCTTATGGCAGGTGTGGCAGTGTGGGGGCCAAATGGAGATCATCCCATGCTCTGTGGTAGGCCACGTGTTCCGTACCAAGAGCCCCCACACCTTCCCCAAGGGTACCAGTGTCATTGCTCGCAATCAAGTGCGCCTGGCTGAGGTCTGGATGGACAGCTACAAGATGATTTTCTACAGAAGAAATCAGCAAGCAGCAAAAATGGCCCAAGAGGTAAGAGGAAATGGTGCTCATAAGGTGTTTGGATGGAGAGAAGTACAAATCCCAGACCCTGGTCAAGAGCTTAAGGGCAGAGGCCCATCCCATCTCTACCATCTCATGCCCCCTTCACCCCTCAGAGCCCTGTGGGCTACAGCCCAGGGACCGTACCAGCTCATAAAGATTTTAAAGGCTAGAGAATGTTATCCCTACCTGAAGAGTACTTGCATGCCAGAGGGGCTTGTGGGGAGATATGGGGGGAAGAACCTCTTACAGGAGGAATGGCTCTCAACTGGGGGCTGGGAGAGAACTGACTGGGGGGTCCCAGGGGAGATGAGGGTGTAGGGGAGCTATGAGTGGGCGGCCCAAAGCTGGGCGGGGGGTTTGGACTTTAGCCCGCACTGGAAGGTCAAAGACTCATGGAACTGACCCTTTTGGGGGGGGCTTGGTTGACAGAAATCCTTTGGTGACATTTCTGAGCGACTGCAGCTAAGGGAACGACTACATTGTCGCAACTTTTCCTGGTTCCTGAACAATGTCTACCCAGAGATGTTTGTTCCTGACCTGATGCCCACCTTCTACGGAGCTGTGAGTCTTGAGGCCCAACCTGCCGACCATCATCATAACCCCTGGAGAGGTTAAAGACTACTTACCCCCAAAACGGATGACAAAAAAAACTTTACCCTTTACTTCCAGAGGAAGACTAAGAGGCCACTTTGGGGCTTCTAGAGATAGATAAAATCCTTATAAAGGGAAAATGACCCGTAGCAGTGAGTCTCAAACATTAGCATGTGTCAGAATCACCAGAAAGACATATCAAACCTCTAGGCCTCTTCCCAGGGCTTCTGATTCAGCAGGACTGGGTGAATTCTGAAGGTCTGCACTTCTAACAAGTCCCCAGGTGAAGCTGCTGGTCTGGGAATCTTGCTTGGAGAACCGCTGCTTATGGAAACTCCCCTGTACTGACCTGGCATCCTGAGAGGTTCACATCCTAGCCCACAGCAGGTGCCCAGTCTTGCCCTTCCCAGCCTCTGCACCTGGCTTTGCTTTTAACTCCAGGCATGTGGGTTAGTAAGCAGAGAAGGCGAGCAGAGGAGAAAAATCACAAAAGGGAAACCCAGCCGTGTACGTTTATGCCAGTAGGCTAGAATTTGTTCCCGCTGGGCCCCTCACCACAAACTAGGACCCTCCTGATTGTGCCCTCCTGGTTCCCTCTCTGCTCACCATTCTGCAGATCAAGAACCTTGGCATCAACCAATGCTTGGATGTGGGTGAGAACAACCACGGAGAGAAGCCCCTCATCATGTACTCCTGCCACGGCCTTGGTGGCAACCAGGTACACAACCCAGCCTCAGCGGGGCGGGCCTGGGCGAAGCCTGCCTCTGGGCATTCCTCTCCTCACTGGCTCCCTTTCTCTCCCTTCAATAGTCCTTTCCTGAGGGAGGGCTGGGATGGAGGGGCTCCAAAAGGAGGAAGACATGCCATCCCTGCCTTCAGGAAGCTTCCAGTCTGAGGGGAAATACATGACACATACACAGACAGGGTCTGAAGTCTGAATTAGGGCCATCCAGAGAGAACATGGCATCAGTGCCAAGTGTTAGAGCGGGGTGGGTGGGAGGACTGATCATCAGGAAAGGTTTGCCGGAGGAGGCCAGCTGCTAGGTGATATTTGGGAATGAGTGTGGAAAATTTTTAGCACATTCCCTTCTCTCTTCACTGCTTCCCCTCCTACCATTACCACTACCGGCTACCACCCAGATCCCACCACTCAGCAGTGACCCCAAAACAACCACCTATTGACAGTTACCTGATGTCCTGAGAATTTACCCCAGGCCTCACAATGCCCCAGTGCTTCCCAGAGGACTAACTAGTAACTTCCCATCCTCTGCCACTCAACCTTCTCTGAGCGCCCACTGCCTGGTGGGCGAGCCACCTAAACCAGACCTGGAGCAAGGAGAGCAGTGGCATGGGGTGTGGGACAGGCTGCCGGCATGTGCAAAGACAGTTATTCTCATGTAGCTTCCTGTGCCACTGGCCTGCAAGATGATTTTAGGTAATACATTGAAAAACATCTTTAAAATTTTAATAGTAATTTATTAGCTAAGATAGAATTAGCATGTCAAACACATGATTTCACAGATGTTTAAAATGAGTCTAAACTTTAATTTTTAATTTAAAGGAAATATATTAAGTAACTCTTATTCCAGTATAACTCAGTTATAGCAAAAATCATGAAGGAAGAATATAAATTACTCAAGCCCGGGCATGGCCTGACCTATCATTTTCCTCCCCAGGAGGCCATCTATGGTTGGCATCACAAGGCAGGTGGCTTTAGAAGGCGGTGGGTGAACTAACTGCCTGCTTCTCAGGATCGCCTCTTGTTTTGATTTCCAGTACTTTGAGTATACAACCCAGAGGGACCTTCGCCACAACATAGCAAAGCAGCTGTGTCTACATGCCAGCGTGGACACTTTGGGCCTTAGGAGCTGTCACTTCACTGGCAAAAATAGCCAGGTCCCCAAGGACGAGGAATGGGAATTGACCCAGGTAAGTTAGGCGCCCAGAAAGCTCAAAAACAGGAACCCAAGACCCCATCTGCCTCTCCTTATTTTCTGCATCTTCTGCCTGAGACACCATAGAGAGAATTAGAGCAATACAGAAAGTGTGGTGAGTGTGGGCTTGGCCACAGGCCAGGTTCTCGGGGCTTAAGTAATGTTTGGCGATGGCTGGTTCTGGCTGATGTAAAGACAAGATTAGTCCACAGCCAGCTCTGCCATTTTTAGGCTGAACCCAAGTAGATAAAGGTGAGAAGTCATTTGTGTCCCTACCTGCTTGCTGTGTGGTGGGCACAAAGCTAGGCACTCACATACCTTGGTTTGAGTAATCTTTCAGAGGCTTTTCTCAAGTAGGTGTCCCCATTTCTATAGATGAGCCAGATGAAGCTCAGCAAGTTTGTAAGTGGCCCAAGACCCATCTAGTAAATGGCAGGCCTGGAATTCAGATATGCCTAAGTCTGACTTGAAAGCATGGACTCTGGGCGGTGCCTATGGCTCAGTGAATAGGGTGCCGGCTCCAAATACCAAGGGTGGTGGGTTCAAACCCCAGCCCCGGACAAACTGGAACAAAAAGATAGCTGGGCATTGTGGCGGGCGCCCGTAGCCCC